GGGCTGGCAAAGGCGCGAGGAGGTTGGGGCGAGAATCCTACTGCACGACGGCGAGAAAAGGCCATTACCAAAGACCATATGTTACTTTGAGCTTTGCGCTAGTAGTTGAAAAGTTTAATTCCATGGTAAAGTGGTTGGGTGGCTGCTGTTGCGACATCCCAAGGGTTGTGGTTGTGGGGTTGGGAAGTGCAGCGCGCGGGCAGGCCAACGGCGGGCGTCCTGCCACACCAAAGCTTCCAAGGGCGGAAGGCTCGACATCAACGATGTTGTGTGTTAGCGAGGGCAAGACGAACACAAGGATAGGATATATATGTGGTATGTATGAGTTATAATGAAATGGATTCCAAAAGTACGCTGAGACAATGCAAACGCCTTTGAGGGTAGCGTATCGTAAACCAAAACATGCCTCGTGGTATGCACCAATGTCGTTTAATCACAGAAAATGTGTGTTTCCTCCAGTCTAGACCTGACAACAAAAATCAACGCTCATGTAATAACGCCGCGCTCCCTGCGTAAAAACAACTCATGATAGATCCATCTCCGGAAATCCCGATCGTCCAGCGATTGCGACCATGGGTTGCGGTGTCGCCGTCCTCGCTAACGCAGCAGTGAATTTATCGGAGCGCATCAAACAGCGAATGCGACATGTTTCTCCTGGATAGATCCGATATTTGTTGTTTGTTTCGAGGACGAAGTAGATGGAGGCATGCCGTAAGCCCGCACCTGTGCGCCCAAGATCTGTCGGTCGACCCCTCTTTCTACGCTGCGCGTGAGTTTTTCGAGGCCTGTTCTGAGAGGCCCGCCGACAGGCCGTTGTTGGGTTGCCTTTGTAGATTTCGAAGATTTTTCAGATTTTTTGGCGGGAGCTTCTGGCTGTATAACAGCCGCTTCTGGTTTTGTGACTAGGGCTTGTGATTCTGTATACGCTGAAGCTTCCGGTTGAGCGTTTTGGGTACGCTTTTTGGGGTAGGGAGTGAGTGCTCGGCACAACATGTTGGTAACTCGTGTTGGTGATTATCGAGAAATGGAAATGCTGCTATGTTGGAAGTGCAAAATGTTCAAGTGCGCTGATTGTAATGGTGTTTTGTAAGTGGCAAGTATGGCATCGCGTCCATGGTGGTTTTATACATTAATGGCCCGATAATATTCATTTTGCTGTACGCGTATTCGCAAACTGTATTCACCGACAGTTACAGCACATCTTGCGAGGCATTGCTGCGGTTTCGCGATGTTGGCGCGGAAGGTGGCTGAAGGGATTCGTAACCTCGTACAAACAGCCAATCGGACGAGTGCGCTCGGATATGTCGATCTCCCTTCAGCAAAACCGGTGGCGATCCTGGGGCACTGCATCTTGGACATCGTTCAGGCTTACTTCAGGTGCCCCGCTGCGGATGGTAATTGAGAAGCCTTGCGTTGGCTCAGTAGACAGAAGACTTGATGCCGCGTTCATCGGTTGTGAATCTACAGATCTCCCCGCCAGCGCATGAAGCTGTCTAGCTATTGGTAGCCGCAGCGTGGACTGAGCAGCAGACCTACGCGTACCGGATGAGCGTATGGTCATATGATGGGTCCCGAGGGTCTCGAGCACGATCATACTCAGGCCAAGCTCTTGCCAGGTCACCGCTGACGTAGTCCCATTCCGACCTAATCTCCGTTAGTGACGCCCGTCGCAATAGCCAACACACAAACTTACATGAACATCAAATCCAGCTGCACTTTGACTTTCCTTGCTTGAACCTTGACGACCCTCGAGGCTACGTCCTCGAAGAACGGAGGTAGACAGATTGCTAGTGTCATGTTCTGCAGATGCGGAAAGCGCGATCTTCGCGCCCCCAGGTTGACGAGTTGCGATAGACACTGCGCTTCGTCCGAGTGCATGAGGTTCCTCTCGTAGGGATTGAGGTTTCCCGTCGCAACGATGTGGCGTAAATAAAGTGTGCGTAGCGATGTAGGTAGACATGAGGGACCGAGTGCGAGACTCCGTAGTTTCGCTTCTTGCATGGGTTTATGCATACAGATTGTGTCGAATCTGAGCTTCTCGAGCCGCGAATCCTTGATTATGTCCCTTACATCAACATGCCCGCTCACAGCCTCATCCTCTTCGATTATGAAGCCGTCGTTCGGATGATTGTACTCAAAAGTGAGTTCGCGAAGTGTTGTCTCGAAACTGTGCTTGAAAGCGCGGATCAGGTAGCGGAAAGCGGTGCCATCTAATACATCGCGTATGCTGCCTTCGTAATTGCTGTGCAATTTTAATCGTCTCAAGTTGAGGAACACTGCCGCAAAGACCTGTATTTCGTCGTCACCAAGCCCCCATTGGAGCGTATGATCAGTGAAGGAGATATCCAAAGTATCAAGCGTGTTGTTTTCGAATTCCCAGTCGTCGAAATGTTCGTCCGGAATCTCGCCAGCGGTAACACCGGAGAGGCGTAATGTCTTCAAGGTTTGCAACTTCAAAACTGGTATGATCTCGGAAAGCGTGCTAGACGCAATGTTCAAATCCAACTCTTGCAGGTTGGGTACATTCAAAATGAAGTTCCGTATCCGATTACCAAGGTAATCATACCGCATCGCGTAGACGGCCCGAACGTATAGTAACAAATCAGGTCGGTTTTGAAAGGTCTGCAATAAGTCGTCTCCGTTGTCTCCTGAGAGGATCAAAGAACGATATATATACGGCTCTGTGATGCGACAAAACTTGCGTGAAACCAGCGATAGGTTGAGGAGATCGTCATAGTCTGATGTATGCCTGTTCGGCAGGGGATTGATGACTTCGGACACTACATGATCGAGTAGTTCTTCTGAAAGGCGCTCCATGACGGGAAGGGTGCGCAAAACAGATGTGACGGGTGGCGTTGTGCCTCAGCGATGCCTCAAATGTGTCGGCGCAAAGGGCGGCCACCGCCGCCGCGCTGCAGCTGGCTGATTCAGCACGCCTAGCGCTCAGCCCTATCGAGATAGCCCTGGAGGACCAACAGCGGACCACGTGCCGACTCGCTTCAACTGACCGGGAAATCTCCCTCCACCCGTTTTCGTGTCACTCCGGTTCTCACAACTCCACCCAGACAGTTGCAATATCTACCCGATTTTTCACCCATATGCGACAGTTGCCGCACAATGGCGATCGTCAACGAGCGCGACTTCCCTCCACTTCCATCACCAAATGCAACGCGTCGACGCGCCGCTGAGCGTGTAGTCGAAACCAATGCCGCAGAACCGCCTACAACCAAACCGCTTCCGACATTGAGTGATCTCCCCACTGAGCTTATCTTGCAGATAATCAACTACTTCCCCGGCATGGACATTGAAGACTTCCAGCTTCCCACGCTCCTCAGTCTGGCATTGACTAGTCGGCGTTTCTATAACGTTGTCATCGACAAGATCTACTCTAAATACGATAGCCATTTCTGCGAGCCCTATGCTTTCCTCCGTACCATGATAGAGGCTCCGCGGCTCGCAAAATATGTCCACAATGTGGAGATCGAACTCGGCACGTACAGTAGCCAGCGCTGCCATGCGACAGCGAGCGACAAGAAATCCATCAAGGAGGGATTGCGTGCGCTTGGTACATCCGACTGGAAAGAGTGGACAGCTAGGTGCAACGGAACTCACCTCAATAACTACGCGCCACAGAAGCACGCGCTACAGAACGCGATATTGTTGCATGCACCAAAGATTAAACATCTCGGCGTTCGAGGAATCGCAAAGGAGAACTTGCGATATCCTTCTTGGATCGATCTCATTAGCAGGGCCGCGACAGGTCATCTCTCTTCACAAGCCCACCGCTTCGAAAAGCTACAATCGATCAGCGTCGAGGCAGGTTCGTTAGGTTTGAGCGAGCTCGCACCTCTTTTCCGGCTACAGTCGTTGCGAAAGCTGCATTTGTGCCAAACTTACATTTATGGATATCGCCAAGATGATGCAGAAGGCGCACACAAATTACAACGTCTGATCCCAAAAGCGTGCAACGATCTAGAGGAGCTCGATCTGGAGAGCACTTACTACACACCGTCGTTACTGGAAGTATTGGTCTCCTCGTCGCGGTGCTTGAAGAGCATCAAGTACGAGACAGAGGCTGAACTTCACCTGGCAGAGCGGCCACCGGAAAACGGAGAGCCGTACAAAACGCTGTCTAAAGTTTTACACTGCCAGAAGGCATCACTTGAGACACTTCAGGTTTGCTGCGATCCAGTCACCGAGGGAGAAACAAAGCGCAGCGTCCATCTCCGCGACAACCTCAAAGGCTTTGCTTCGCTGAAACATCTCAGCTGTCCACTAGGCATGCTTTTGAACCACGATACCGAAAACTTTGTTGAACGATTGCCATCCTCGCTGCTGACGTTTCGAACGCCAGTCCGGAATCACACCGAGGACCAACAGTGCTTGGAGGCCCTGAGAGACGTGGTAACCTCTTATCGGGAACATGTACCTGATTTGGAAGAGGTTCGGGTGGTTGCTCCCGAGGCCGCATCATGGTTCACATATGATTGGGAGCCTCTTGTGAAGCTCTTTTCGGCTGAAACAGGCATCAGCTTCGTGGTAGAACCTGGAGACACTGATGACGATGCCTTCGAGGACTGGGATGATCATGAGACAGACTCGTCGCACTCCTCAGATGAGGTTGATCTGTATAGCGACGAGGATTGATGTACTAGTATTGCTCACGATTTCACGATACCGGCCTTTTCTGTGAGTCATTCCTGCTTCTCTACATGGACAGAAGCAGAATCAGAGGGCCCATAATTATGTTAATGCCTTAAAAAATGCAAAGCATTGTACAGCCGGTTTTTCAGCGGGTTCCAAATTGTGATGGCCGATGCTGGTCGGTACCAAAATGTGCCCTCACCCAAGGCAGCAGCCTTGCGCAGGCCACATCTCAAATGCAAACTTCGCAACGTCGCCGCTAACAGAATGACATAAAACAATGCGAGTGTAGACTCTTCCCGCAATACCTACAGCAATCGTTCACTCTCTTCCTCATCCTATCATCGCAACGAAAGATGTCTTCCACCGAAGGCGACCCTAAACCGCCAGTCAAATCCGCGCACGCAGCACCAGAAGGAGAAGAGCTGAAGCAATGGAACACTTCAGTCCTCGCCATGATCGACAAGCGTATCGACCTCTACCCACGACCGCTTCCATACAACCGAAGAGTAAGGGCCACTCGCGCGGTGGTTTTACTACTCGGCAGGATCAGGCAACTCTGGAGGAACCTGCTTCGTACCTGGCGTAGCAAATTTGCGTTGGCATCTTGGTTCGTGGATGTAGAACAAGACCAGCGCCCAATATTCCTGGATCCAGATCGCATCGTCACTGCAATCGAGAAGGCGGGCCATGTCCCTGAACTCGTTGAGAACATCATTCGCTTCGCCGATACAGAGACCCAGATGCACGCTGCCTGGAACGTTTCAACTCTCTGGAGACATACCGTCGCGCATATTATGACCACTCCAAACTCATTTCGTCCATCACTTCCATACGAAGTTGTGGAGCGTGGCAGTACGCAGAATCTGGATGCGATCGGTGGTCTTCCCGAGCCTAGTGACGAGGATTTCCAGAAATTTGAGCAAGAGATGCTGCTCTTACGTGAGTTCCAGGCATCAAGAGACGCTGATGTCGCCGCACGAGATTACTCATGGTCCGGGATATATCGACCTTACTGGCCGGCTCGCATTTACTCGTCGAAGGCTCTACCTGATCATCTCAAGACCTTGTACCATTTGGTCAGCATTCGCTATTCGTTGGACTCAAAAACAAATGGGTGGCGCGACTTCACACAGTTCAAGATGAACCCTTACTTCCAAACTGTGTTCGTACGGCAGTTAACGGAGTCTGTCGGAGTGTATGAGTTCAAATTTCAGCCATTGGACCGAATCGAGAACCTCGTCTTTGGAACCACCCCTTACCTAGGAGCCTTTCGTGGACTAGTTGGCCCTATGCAGTTGATACAGCCGCCCTGCAAAGCGATAGAGCTGCGTGTCCAAGTACCATTTCAGCATCCGGATACTACTAGGGATTTCGGATTTCCATTATCTACCTATGATTCGATGGGCACTATTGTACACGTACTGAACTCAAGCGGCATAACGTGCGAACAGCTATGCAAAGCGCTCGAGGAATGTGCCGAGATGGTGCTGTGGCATTGGCGAATCTGCGCGGATCAGTTCCGAGAGAACGTCCTCGGGTTAGAACACTACACGAATGGCATATGGACTTTGCGCGGAAGACCAACGATATACATTGTATTGAGCGACATTCGCCCTCGCACGTTGAACGTACCTTCCAGTACCATCAACGTACCTTCTATTATCGACCGCCAGCTGGAATGGATCCCGAAGGAGTTGGTTCGGACGATAGAGCACGTGGAAATTCGTGATGGAAGGCTTCGGCGATACCCCGCTGATCTAAAGAGTTGACGTCATCATCGTCTTGTCTCCATTCTCAGTGTAACGACTTGCGACTGTTGTGCATCTACACGAGGCGAACTGAACTGAGGAAGCCTCACATGAAGACCCTCGAGATGTTCCGTACGACGTGATAACGCACTAACTGAGCAGCTTTGCGACATCGGTAGCAGATCATCCCAGGTTGTTCCCAGCCCCCGCCTCGGTGGCCGAGACGACATGGAATTATTCCGCCGCCTACTCGCCTACTGGAGAAGCTGTCACATCTAATAATCTATTATGCGACAATTCACGTCAATGTTTTCGACCCCTCCATGCATCGGTTTCGCCCGTCTACTCGCCTCTGACCCGTGCCGTCCCCACAAGCCGCCCACTCGCCCCTGACCCGCGCTTCTGAATTGCCGATATTGCCATGCGCATGCGCACGCTCAGGGTCTGAGACAGAAAAGGTCGGTATGCGAAGTGGATACTACGTAGATAGCTTCTCCAATCCATCTCGGTACTTCTACGGCCCGTCTCGTCGTTCCTTTACATCGTTCTTATCATCAAAAAGCAACAACAAACTCATCAACAGCAATTGGCAGGCCAAAAGTCAAAAGCAAACATGTCTAACCCCTCAGTTGTCAAGCCCGATCCGTCCTACGTCGTACCCCTCCTCATTAACGGCAAGGAGGTCACCACCAAGACCACCTTTCCCGTAACATCACCCTCATCGCACAAGGAAGTATGGAGCTCTTCGTCCGCCTCGCTGGAAGAGGTTAAGAGTGCCGTTGCGGCGGCAAAGGGCGCCTTCCCCGCTTGGTCCAAGATGAAGCATTCCGCTAAGCGCAACATCTTCCTCAAGGCCGCCGACGTGATTGATGCGCGCGCGGAAGAATTCGCAGACTACATGAAGATCGAAACCGGTGCTGCGGATAACTTCAGCAATGGCTTTAACGTACCCAAGATGGCGGATATGCTGAGAGATGTGGCCGGCAGGCTGAGCGCGGTCATGGGACACATTCCCAGCTGTGAAGAGGAGGGCACCAGTGCGTTGATCGTCAAGGAGCCTTATGGTGTTGTCCTGGGTATTGCGCCCTGGTAAGTATTATCATGTTGGTACATGTTATGTACGCGCAAAGCTGATGAGAGCACCAGGAACGCCCCATATGTGCTTGGCATGCGATCGATTCTGTACCCTCTGGCTGCGGGTAACACCGCCATCCTGAAGGGTAGCGAATTCTGTCCTCGTACATGGTGGGCCATTGGCAGCGCCCTGACCGAGGCTGGTCTTCCCGCTGGTGCGCTCAATGTCCTTGTCCACCGTCCCGAGGACGCGGCGCAAGTCACGATGGCCTTGATCGAGGAGCCCGCAATCAAAAAGATCAACTTTACTGGTTCCACCGCTGTTGGTCGCATCATCGCATCGACCGCCGGCAAGAACCTCAAGCCCGTTCTGCTCGAACTAGGAGGCAAAGCGAGCGCCATTGTCCTCGACGATGCGAACTTGCAGACAGCAGCAGTACAATGTGCGCTTGGTGCTTTCCTACATGCAGGCCAGATTTGTATGAGCTCAGAACGCATTCTCGTGCACAAGAACATCAAGCCGCAATTCATCGAGGCTTTCAAGGGCGCCGTCGAAGGCATCTTTGGCGGCGACAAGCCTGCTCCCATTCTCGTAGCTGCACCCGGTGTAGAGAAGAACAAGACTCTCGTTGCCAATGCGGTCAAGAACGGCGCGAAAGTCGTACACGGCGACCACGAGAAAGATGAGAAGCACCCTGAGACCAACGAGGCTTCGGCCACACGTCTGCGACCCATCATTGTTGACGGCGTAACCAAGGACATGGACCTCTTCCACACCGAGTCCTTCGGTCCTTCTGTCTCGGTCATTGAGATCTCCAGCGATGAGGAAGCCATTGAGATCGCCAACGACACTGACTATGGGCTTTCGGGCGCTGTGTTCACGGAGAACCTTGGTCGCGGTCTACGCGTTGCAAAGCAGATTGAAAGCGGGTAAGTCCTTCCCACCTGGGCAACATCGAATGATGTGACGTTTGTCATGACTAACAACTGTATACAGAGCTATCCATATCAACTCCATGACAGTGCACGACGAGTGGACCTTGCCGCATGGTGGCGCGAAGGCAAGTGGATTCGGCCGTTTCAACGGACACTGGGGTATTGAGGAGTTCCTGAGGATGAAGACTATCACCTACAAGGAGTAAGAGTAGTTGTGTGTAGCTTGAGCAATATATTCCTACTTCCTAGCTCGGCAAACAGCGATACTCTAAAGTCGGTAAATTATGGAGTACGTGGTACGACTCCAAACCCCGAGCCCGGTTTGCTTTCTCCTGATTTAGCCAATCACATAACCTGCGGCTCCGATTTGGATATGCTTAGAATTATTTCTTTACTTGTCTTTGCTACGCCACATTCGTTCGTCGTGCGCCCCTCTAATACCGGTTTAGGGGATGTATCTCCATGTACGTTCAAGCCACAGGCAGCGGTGACGCAAGGTCCAGTGGGAAGGGTATATCTAGCAACAACCACCATAATGTACAGCGAAGTCATCCCCGAAAGGGAGAACACAGCCTCCAGCTTGCAACGGGTGGCTTCTCTGAAGAAGCACTCATTCCCCGCACGACACCCTTCTTACTGAGAATGGCGGAGTACACATTACCATATTCGATGTCAAACACAACGTGGGCGGCAGGTTGGAGTTGCTTATAATCCTGCGGGCATAACCCCGATTTCACCCCTTCGTTGACACCGCGATCCAATCTACACGAAGTCGCAAAGAACCTTCGAGACAAAACGCCATGATGCATACTCCATCCTTCCTCCTCACGATTCTGCCCCTCCTCTCCCTCATAACCCCCACCACCGCAGCCTTCCCCTCCCTCTCCCTCACGAACATCCAATTCTCCTCCTACGTCCTGTATGTCTCGCCATCGGCTCAGGGGCCCCGACAAGGCGTCATCGGCTTCACCATGACCAACAGCGCCATCGAAGTGCCCATCTCTTGCAGCGCCATGTCTTACAATGCCTACGCCCTCTTCTCCCCCTCCGTAACCTACGAATGCAATTTCGCACCTGCGGGAGGCGAAGAAGGGAGGGAGGACCCTTGGTGCTACACCAAGAGTGCGACGTTCAATCTCGACACGACGAAACAGGATGAGAAGAATGCGACGATTTATGATTTGACGGTGCAGATGAGTTGGACGTGTGAGAAGTACGTATTCTACCTTCCTTACAGTTGATGTAGCTTTTTCAGCTGACGATTGCTACAGCGAGGGTGTTTACGGGCTTTCCGCCCAGAGTGTCTTGGACCTGGACTGTAGCGTGTGGGCGTGTGAGAACCACATGTGGCCCAAGTATGATGTCTTCTCCAATACTAGCACGTACTGCGCGCCGTACAATGTTAGTTTCGGGACTGGAGATGTCGAGATGCTGAAGCTGGAGTAAGAATAAGGAGCTGAAACCTAATGGTTGCTGGACCAATGTAGAAGTAGTCGTGTTGTAATGGATGAATACTGCTGCATTCTAGATCTTGTCGGCGTTCTGAATAGCCTTCTTGGTGTTGTAACAGAATTGAACACTGCTGCATTCTAGATCTGGCCGTTGTTTTTGAGTAGCCCTTTGTAAAATGTATTGTGCTGATCTTTTGCGGCTGAACTCTGCAGAGGCTTGATGCATGTGTAGTCTGTTGTTCTAGGTTTCCTTTAGTCTACCAGCGAATGATCTGGATCACGGTACATCGTCCTGTGGCTTCGGTTAGTCTTCGATGTGGCTGGCTGTCTTACCGGTCACGTCTACACGATAGGCGCAGGGTAGCCTTGATCTAAGTTGTTCACCCCGCATTATGCAGATTCTGGCGTTTCTTGTTTGTCTCTGTTCAATCATTGGAGAATGCCTTATCAAAAGAAAGTCATCTGCATTTCCTGGATGCAGCGACTCCTAATGGAAAGGAGAAGGAGGCTAACTCGCCAATAAATTGAGGCTCTGGCGATCCGTCATGACGAACTCAATCGTCATTATTCGATGACCCTTTATCCCAGGAAACTGGAGACTGCGTAATATCTACCAGCCGATCAAGCGGGTGTAGACGCCGACCTAGAAGAGACGCTATCAATTCTCCGGTAGTCTGCTCTTGGTATTCGATCGGATGCGAACACCCTGTGCCACGATGGTGCTCTTTGAAATTCTCGTGGGATCCAGCTAAACTCGTACAGGTCACGATCGCCCCACCCGTCACATCCATCACGTCGTAGAGCTACATTGGCGCGCGAGCTACCCTTTGTTAGCCCATCCTAGCACGTATCGTGAGATGGGACAATGGAATTGTGATTGGCTTTGTCCGGCCTTGTTGGTAGCTAAAACCCAAGACTGTGGAACCAAAGACCGTTCACTGGGCGGATTTTATTGTACACCAGTCGTGCGGACTGCTCTGATTGTGCGATCGTGATATCTATGAAACGTAGGTTTGTGGGCATTTTTCGGCATTGAGGAGCCGATACGATCGTCGTGCTTGCAGGTCAGCAAAGGATCTTTTTGTGGCGAAGCGTACACGCGTGCGAAGAGCTCGCAACACGACAGTTGCTCTCGCAAAATCTGGAGTATGAGAATATTCATGGGAAATTGGAAAATCTAGGGGAGTCCCCCAGTCTGGATACAGCCGGCGATAAAGTTCGATTCGCGCATCGACCCAGAGATTGAAGCTGCACTATTTCGGGCGCTTCCCAGCAGAGGCCGTGCGCTTCCCGCGTCAAAGTGACGCTTGCCATTGCCGGACCACCAACAGAACTCCTTTCCAGCCATCTCCAGGCTGATCACACGCCACGACTTTTTCTCAGGCTTGCCAGCCCACACCATGCAGGAGTTCTGAAGTTCCGTGCTGGCGGAGTGGATCTGGGTGCGCTGGGGATACCCGCTTGTCCGCATGCAGTTGGAATGCGCATGCTAAATAAAGCCAGACTCAGCCCGCGCGAGGGGTGCGGCTGAGTACCACCACCGTATTTGTCTTGCACGGT